CCCCAAAACCCCAAAACCCCAAAACCCCAAAACCCCATCAAGATTTATGATTTTTGAAATTTAGATTGAATTAATTAAATAAACTCCATTATGGTTAAAACTTAATATTATAATCATCACTTGTCATTTGATCTTATTCAGCTTTCTTGAATTCAATTTCTTTGTATACATGCATTCAATATATCTCCCTCCTTGGATCAACTACTTCAGTCATTTTGATGGGAAGTCACCAGCACTCTTCGGATCATTCACTTGCCTTTCATTCCAATCCTTTTTTGACTAAGACTAAGTATTTTTCTGCTTTTTGTCTTTTAATCCTTCCATAGTTTTGACTTCAGATTCAGGGTGCCCCTCAAGTCCTCTTTAGACTCCTTAATTTTTATCAAGATCTTATTTTTAGGTTTATTCTTGGTTTTAAAATTATTTCGCATTTAAATTCTATTTTTACTTTTTATCTTGGTTTCTATTGATACTTTCCATATCCCTTTCACCTCTTTCTTGATTAAATTTACTTTGTCTTTATTGATCTTAAGATTTTTGGTTTTAGAAATCTATGTTGGAAGATTATTCTGATTTCTATTAAGCAAATGATTTAGTATTTTCTGAGTCTCCTGGATATAGCTATTATGATTCCTGCTACAAGTTGTTGTTGAATTTTTCCTGTCTATCAATTGACTATGCAAGATTCTCTCCTGGCTTCACGATATTTTCAGCCTCATTAAGCAATTCTTATTACTGACCACTTACACCCTACTTCTCTTCTCTATAGTTATCACCATCAACATTATCCTCTCTAATGAATCCTTAACATTCGAATTGATGGTGTCCCTTCCAATCTCTTGTTTTATCTTCAGCTAGGTGCTATTGAGCAACTAATTCAAGCCTTTTTATCTCTTTTAACTTTTCTTTGTCATGTACTTTATGAGAATCAAATGGCCAAATCTACCTGTGAGGCCCTTGAACAAAATATCTAATATTTTATTGGGTGAAAAAATTTCTCAACTTGAGTCTAATTAATTGCTATTAAAGATTCATCGATATGATTAATTTAATTATCATTTTTAAAATGCTTCTTAAGTATTTACGGGGTTTTGGGGTTTTGGGGTTTTGGGG